CCCATCCATACTTCAAGCTTACCTTCAGGACCCCTCTCAATTCCAGCTCCGTACGGAAATCCTCTCACTGTGCTTTTGTTTTTTAAAACCCATTTCAAGTTAGTTTATTTCCAACAAAATTATAAACTTGAGGGCACAAGCTTATTTTCTCTTCTAATGGATTGAGCAACACCTTTTATATCAAGCTAAGCGTGGTCTAAAAATTGTGTTTAAAAGTAAGCTTTTTTGGCGCTCTGGTGGCTTAGTGGCAAGAAGTTGCACTGCAATCCCAGAGGTGCATGGTTCAAATCCACCAGATGCTCTGCTGGAGAAGGAGGGGCAATCTCCTCCTGTACCTGTCAGATCCAATTTGACACACACAAAATAGTAAAAGTAAGCTTTTCCTCCTTAGTTTTTAAAATTGATCCCATTCAAAGTTGGACAATGAATAAGGATGATCGAAGAAGAGCCGATGCCTTTGAATTGCGGTGTTGGCAAAGAATATTGGATATCGCCTATATGAAAAGAACAAAGAAATCTGTCCTGGAGGAAGTGTAACGAGGGCGCTCTGTAGGGGTAGGCTTAGAGAAACTTCATCTCACAGACCTTGGACACGTTGTCAGGAAGGGCCAGTCGTTGGACAAAAGACATCACGCTGGGAAAGGAGGAGGGCTGGACCTGCAGGAAGATGGACTGACACAGTCACTGTCATAATGGGCTCACACACGGAGGACTACGGAGCAAGGCTCACACAAAATCCAAGATAAAATTACTAGGAATTTGAGGCATGCTGAAGGAAGGGAGCTTCACTGCCCAGGTAATAGAGAGATACTTGTTATTTCAGGCAAGAGACATACTAACACTGGATGCGGTGGAAATTCAGTTTGTGGATGGTAATGTTGTTGTTGTTGTTATGTGCCATCGAGTCATTTGTGACTCATAGCGACCCTATGTACAACAGCCCTAAACCCTGCTCTATCCTGTGCCAATCGCACTGTCTCTGACACACCCATCCCGATTACCCCAGTCACTGAATCAATCCACCTCATAGAGGATCTTCCCCTCCTGTGCTGTCCCTCCACCCTCCCAAGCATGATGTCCCTCTCCAAGGACCGGTCGGTCCCTCCTTACAACATGTCCAAAGTATGTTGGATGAAGCCCCAGAATCCTTGCCTCCAAGGAGTAGCCTGGCTTAACTCTCTCCAGGATGAAGGTAATAATGTCACTAAAATGTACACCAGAACAAGAGGCCTGGTGGTGATGGCTACGACCCACATAATTTTGGAAGAATAACAACCTCAAAATATATGAGTCATATAAGTACATATGTAGGTCTGTCTATGTGACTATACACAGATGGTGGTTGCTGTGTGCCATCAAGTTGGAACTGACCCACTGCTGACCCTCCAGTGGGTTTTCAGAGGCAGTTATTTGTACAGGAGGAGATTTCTCATCGTTCTTCTGTGAAGCAGCTGGTGGATTTGATCTGTGTGCCTTTGGGATTGCAGTGCTGCTTTTTACAACGAGGCAAACTGGATTCCCTCCCAACAGTGGCAGGGTTCCCATCTGATTACTATCAGTAATTTATAAATATTATTTTGATTTGTCTTTGGGGGTTAAAACATTTCACATAAGCTTATAGACATTGTAATAAGTATTTTCATACATTAGGGAGCTCTGGTAGCCTAATGGGGAAGGAGTTGCACTGCCAACCCAAAGGCAGGTGGTTCAAATCCACCAGCTGCTCTTTAGGAGAATGACAGACAATGTCCTCCCATGTGATTTACAACCTTTGCAAACAGGAGGGCCAGCCAGGAGCTAGTCCCGACTCCATAGCAATGACAGGGAAAGGGGAGGAGAAAGACGCTTAAAAACACACACGACATAAATATGAAATCTGCCCAATGAGGAAAATTAGATGATATTGACAATTTTGTCAGCTGGGGTAACAACTCGATGGTCCTTTTTCCCCCATTCTTCTTCATATACTTCCTGGTAACATTTCACTGCTTCCTGAATCTGCCTATGGGCTTGAGCAGAGATCAGTATACGGATACATGTTTTCAAACAACTGAAACCCTTGAAAACGGTTACAAAACTCAATGCTGGGAACAAAACTCAATGTTGGGAACAAAAGCTCAATGCAATCAAATCAGAACCAACTCCTAGCTAACCGTCCGAGGCATTTTCAAAGGTTTTAAACTGCATGGGAGGAGATGGTCCATCTTTCTCAAGCAGTTGGTGGATTTAAACCACCTGCCAGTCTACCAGAGCCCCAGAGTGAGTGGTTAATGCCTTGGCTGCTGACTGAAAGGTCAGGGATTTAATGAGAGAGAGACCGTCCTGGAAACCCCACAAGGCGTTTCTCTGATCTATAGAAAATGACCTAAAAAAGTCATAGGCTTGGGTGGCTGGTTGGTTTGTTTTAAAGACCCTGATTTAGTTTAGAAAAAAACCAGTTCATCTTTCCATTCTAGAAATTTCTGACAGCTTCTTCCTCAGCATTTCTGTCTTCTTCAGCATTTCTTTCCTCCTCACAATTCATTAAGTCCTGATCTGTCTATTCCTCCTCCTCATGATCTATGAGTTCTCCACAACAGGGATATCATGTTCTAAATTTAGTGCTCTTGCCATATGGACAATTTTTCCAACGATCTCTTCCATTATGTTATCTTGATCAAACGCTTGGAGCATGTTCACATGACTTCGCAGTTTCCCCCAAATCTTTTGCATGCATTTTCCGGTAACTTCCTCCCAGAAAGATACAATATCCCTGATACATAGAGGAGTATTTTATAATTCTTTCAGAAATCGGAGTGTTTTCAACACTACATTATAACACTGAACATCTGTGAGTGAACATCTGAGAATTATATCATTAGCAAATTACACATTGCAGTACTGTTTATGGCACAAACTACTTATGATGTACAAAAAAGTGAAAAGTCCTAAATTCAGTTCACTGTAACTTGAAAATGTTTTATGCTGGAGACTCTGTGTGTGTGTGTGTGTGTGTGTGTGTGTGTGTGTGTGTGTGTGTGTGTGTGTGTGTGTGTGTAGGAGCTCTGGGAGCCTAGAAGTAAGAAGTTATGCTGCCAACCCAAAGGCATGCAATTCGAATCTCCCAGCTGGTCCACGAAAAAAAGATGAACAATCTTTTCCCTTGTGATTTAGTCTCTGAAAAGCTACTGGAGGGCCAGCTATGAGTCTATTCCAACTTGATAGCAGGTAACAAGTGCATAAATGTGCACATTGACAGCACCATGATAGATGGAGAAGAAAAGATTGAGGCTGTTAACAATTACAGCTTGCTCGACTCCACAATCAATACTCTTGGTGCCAGCCATTAGGAAAACAAAAGACAAACTGCACTGGGAAAACCTGCTATCAAGGACCTCTGAAGAGTACTGAGAAGCAATGATGTCAGTCTAGAGACTAAGGTGCACCTGATCCAAGCCACAGTCCTCACAATTACTTGCTATGCATCAGAGAACCGGACAATGACTAAGGATACAGAAGAATTATTGATGCCCTTGAGTTGTGATGCTGGAGAAGAGTTTTGGACATACTATGGACAGCCAAGAAAACAAACAGGTCTGTCTTGGAGAGGGTGAAACAGTTTATCCTTGGAGGCTAGGATTTTGAAGCTCTGTCTCACATACTTTGGGCAAGTGGCACGGAGGTCCTTGGAGAAGGACATCATGCTTGGAAGGGTGGAGGGACAGCTCATGAAAAGAAGACCCTGGATGAGATGTATTGATTCAGTAACTGGGGCAACGGGGGTAGGGATGTTGGAGTCAGTGAGACTGGCTCAGGCAGGACGGGGCAGGTTTCAGAGATGTTGTACATAGGCTTACTATGGGTCACAGGAAACTCAACAGCACATAACTGCAACAACAACAACAACAACAACAACAACAACAACAACATATTCCTATAAATAATAAAGGATATGAGAGGCAGTTTCAGATACTTCTTTTTTTTAACAGCTTATAGTTTATTGGTATTTTTTTTAAGCTGTGGGTAGGTATATCATATATGAAATTCAGATTAAAGAACAGTCTTTTCCTCTAAGCAATTTTCAGATTCAAGTGGTCAAGTGGCTGAATTACAGTTGAATAATTACTTGCATTTCTTTTTCAGAAAACATTACAATGTGTCCTCAAATTCACTCATCATCTCTTGTTTAAAATATTCTACCTTTTATGCACACCCATGTTTATTGTGGCTTTGTTCACAATAGCAAAGAGCTGGAAACCACCTATGTGCCCATCACCAAACGAATGGATAGAGAAGCTCAGGCATATCCGCACAGTGGAATACTACGCTGCATTGAAAATCAAAGAACTCATGAAATATTATGCAAGATGGGTGACCCTGGAGGACATTATGCTGAGTGAACTATCTCAGTCACAATAAGACAAATATTGCATAGGGCCACTGCTGTAAAACAGGACTGACATCAGGGTTGAGAGGAGACAGAAAAAGAGGGGAAGAATGAGCTATACTGCATTGAAACAGAAGAGGGAGAGATATGTTTAAAAGGGATGTAAGAATGGGAAGTCCAGAGTGAAGGCTGCATTGTGGAGTGGATTTGAGGATTGCATAACAATGAAAGAGTTTTTCTTTTTCTTTTCAAGGAGAAGAGTGAATTGGGGGGGGGGAGAGTGGGCAGGGAGAAAAGTGCAACAATGAATGACTGGAAACCCTAAGTCTCTGTAAACTTTCATTAAAACAAACAAACAAATAAATAAATAAAAACAAACAAAAAAAAAAACAAAACAAAAAAGCTAATGACCACTTGCAGACAGGGAGGCAATCTTTGTAAAAGATCTCACTGCTTGCTCCCAGATGTGTAATAAAGTGCTTCTGGATATTGCAAAAAAAAAAAAAAAATTCTACCTTTTAAATAGTAATAATGCTTTTAAACAATAATAGCATTGCTTCGTTTTTTTGAGATCTCACCCCCAGGATTCTAGCTGACTTCAAAGTTTCCTTCAGCAGGAAAGAAATCCCATTACTTATCCTGCATAACGACAAGGGCAAATTCCTTTGACCCCCAGGCCAGTTATTTTGAAAATCCCACCCGCTTCAGGCTGTTTCAAAAGACTCTCAGGATTCATTCCATCCCGAGCAGAGGTCACATACATTTCAGAATAATCCCTTCCTCCGAAGCAGCATGAAGTTGTCTTATCAACAGGCAACTTCACAGTTTGGAGTCTTTTCCCTGTCTGAGGATCTAAACGAATCACTCTTCCTCCGTTGTAGCAGGCCACCCAAAGCTTCCCCTCAACGTCAATACACATTCCATCTAGGATTTGCTCTTCTTTCTCCAATTTATAAACATTGCGGCGGTTGGATATCTGTCCTGTCTGCAGGTCATAATCAAAGGCATCCACAGAGTAGGATAGGCTGTCAATGTAATATAATATTTTGTGGTCTAGGGACCAGTCCAAACCATTGGAGATGTCCACCTGGTCAAAGTACTTTTCCACATGGTGGTCAGGAAAGAGGGCTAAGCGAATCCCATCGGCAAACCATTTTTGCTGGAACATCTACAAAGAGTAGAGAGTTGCTTGCTTCTTCCCACACTGGACACTCACCACAACAGCGATTCTTTGGCAAAACACACTCAATCTTAATGGATGACATTGTTAGAGTAGAAATCTATCATAGGTCTTAGTTCCTGGCCATACTTCCTTATTATTAAAAGCAAACCAACCAGCCCACTGTCATTGGTCAGTTCTGGGCTGTAAATCTCTATGACAGCATAGTACCTATCTTCTCCCTATGGATTGGCTGGTGGATTTGAACCAATGACCTTTTAGTTTGTAGTCCAAGACATTAGGTATTACACATAGCTCCTCTTGAGATTGCTCTTCTGAGGTTGAAGGAGTAGAGTCATTCCTTCTTGAAACATCTTGATCAACTGGCATAACATAATTCACAAATTTTTGGTCTACATCCTGGCTTGGAAAAGTGTCTGGGTTCTTAAGAGCTTTGGAACAGTCATCTAAGGTACAACTATTATGTCTGCTTGTTCAGAATTAAAGAGGAAGAAAATAAAACCAAAGACTCAGAGAAGAAACTAGTCTACAGGGCAAATAGTCTACATGAACCACAAGCTCATCCACCCTGAGACCAGAAAAACTAGGTGATGCCTGCTCACTTCCACCAGCAGTTCCAATCAGGACCACAAGTGATGGACACTGATAGACTGGTAGAAAAATATGAAACAGAAATCTCAGATTTCAGTAACTACTAAAAAAAGAAAGCGAACCAGACTTATGGGACAGGTTGAGACTGGAGAACTCCCCCAGGCTACTGTCCTGAGATACTCATTAAATGAGGTAGTAAAACTAGCCCCTGAGGTCACCTGAAGCGAAATAACAGACTGACGACCTAATAAACATCACTGTACTCCTTAAAAAAAAAATCACTAAGGAGAACTGTCAACAACTGCTTCAAATCAAAGATGCAAAGGTACAAGGGTAGGGAAGCTAGATTAATGGAAATGGAACAACCAGAAAAGAAAGAATGAGAACGTTCACATATTGTGAAGAATATTGTCACCGATAAAAAGATGTTCACATCACTGAACAATATGCAAAGAAATTGCTGAATGGGAGCCTACAGGGCTGTGTAAAATCTTCACCAAAACCACACTGAATGGACACCACTTATACCACCTACCATCCTGTGTGTACATCCATTGCTCTCTGATTCCGTTTCACAGTGACCTTTTGGGACACAGGGGAACTGTAAATAGGGTTTCCAAGACTACAAGCTTTATGCGAAGGAGCCCCGGTGGTACAGTGGTTAAGTGCTTGGCTGCTAAATGAAAGGCCAATCATTCAAACCCAACACCGGCCCCACTGTAGATGTGACAGTCTGTTTCCATACAGGGTCAATATGAGAGGCAGAATCTTGACTCACGTACAATGGAGGAGCCCAGTGCTTAATTGCTGCACTACCAGGACTCCTTTGTATGTTAGACAGGGACTCAGAAATACATGTTGGGGAATGAGCTAATCTGGCAAACGGACATTTAGTATTTGGCAATCTGATACGGAGCACTGGTGAAAAATCCTGCTTTCCTCACAAGCCATTTTCTTTCTTACATCCCCAGAACTCAAGTACCTATCTTGTTTATTAGGGCAGAAATGGTTCCAGCAAATTCCCACTCAATCCTTCGGCTTTAACAAGAAGATTAATGCAGTGTCACACTTTGGTTTTGTTAAATATGTGCTGTTTTTCTCCTTCTCAACATCTTTAATTCATGATAGTCGCTGGACGTCTATCCTAATGAGAGTTTTAAAAGGTCAATTGATCCAACTGGCACTGGCCTGGATGGATATGGTAATTTGGTTTTGGTTTTTTAATACAAAGAAACAATCACTTTCTTCAAAAACTGAACTCTTGACAGACTGTGGTGGCCTTGGAGAGCTGACCTCCTGAACCTGGCCAGGACAGGGCCAGCTGCCCGTCTGCACTCATGACCCCTGGGGAAAAGCAGTGGGCACGTGGATTGAGTCCGAATTTCTTCTTCTAAACAGCCCCCAGATTTTGACTAGATGTGTGCAACTCAGCCAGGAGCCAGCAGCTAGGTCACCATCTGTGAGCGGCTAATGAGGTGGGGAGTTTTGCAGCCCACAGAGGTGAGCCAGGCTGCCTAGTGAACGTTAAGACAGCACGAGTGTCATGACAGACGTGTGCTGCGGGGATGCTGGGCCGATTTGCATCGTGCTGTCCGAGTCCTGGGAGCAAGTTTCTCTGCGGTTGCTCGTTCCTGCCATCATCAAGCACTTCCAGGGCAGAAGCAGACTTTGTCACCTGAGGTCTAACTGACAGCTAAAAGGAGCTCTGGTGGTACATGCGATTAAATGAACCCAGAAGTCAACAGTTGGACTCCAATGGCCAGAGAAAGAAAAGACCCTCAACAAGACAGACTGACACAGTGACTGCAACAATGGACTCGAGCACAGCAGAGACAGTGAGGACAGAGCAGGACAGGGCAAGGTTCAGATCTGTTGTTCACAGGATCGCCATGCGTCATAGTTACCCTGACAGCACTGAGCAGCAACAACAGCCACTCCACGGGAGAATGATGAGTGTGCTGTTGTTAGCCGCTGAGCTATGACTCACAGCAACTCTATGAACAACAGATCTGAACCCTGCCCGATGCCGTGGCAGCCTCACCGCCTGTCTGTTGTTGTCAGTCACTCTGTCAATTCATCTTGTTGAGGGCCTTCCTCTCGTTGACGCATCTTCACTCTTTCCCAGCATGATGTGTTTTCCCTAACGACTAGCCAGTCCTTAGAAGATGAGATAATATACAACCCATCAATATTCATAGCCTTGTATACTCTGTCCTGTAGGTCTGAATCAACTCGACGGCAATGGTCTTGGTGTAATACATGGTAGCAACCTTGGTGGTACTGTGGTTAAAGATCTTGGCTTCTAACCAAAAAGATTAGTGGTTTGAACCCAAGAACTGTTCCATGGAAGAAAGCTGTGATGATCTACTTCCACAAGGATCACAGCCTCGGGGTCCCATCAAGCAGTTCCATTGTCCTGCAGGGCTGCTACCAGTTGCAGTTCAACGGCCATGGATTTGGTGACGACATAAATGGCACTCAAGAAAAGTATTACTGAATTGAAGATGGCACAATCCTTTCTTCCTATTTTTCATTTTTACCTCCAAATTCTGCCACTAGGAACTGGTATTAGCATCACTGGGAACATGTCTTCTTAGGGATTTTCCTCAAAATTGGTTATCTGGTCTGATGTGCCTATAAGACTTTCAATACATATTTCAGGGCCAATGAGATGCCAATGAATTTCTTCTGCTTCCTCCAGGCTTTCAGATGGCAGAGATGACTTCTGATCCTAAGAGTTGCTAGAGAAATGGCAAGTGACACCCCCTCGCCCGCCCACTGGCTCAGCCTAGCACTAGATCATAACTCGGATCCATTAACCTTTTGTCCCTGGGTTGTTTCTCTAAGCCGAGATGAAGAATTAAATTATAGGCCTAAATCCCCATTAAGCCAATATTCATCTCTCTCTGCTTTCATGGAAAGCAGTAATAAATCTTGCTTTGGGAGGGCCTTCTGCCTCCTTCTTCAGTCCTTCAGCTAACAAGATCAAGGCCGCTCGTGAAATGAAATAATTTGGCTCTCCTATTTCTGAAAGTTGTGGAGCTCTTCCTGATCTTTCCTGTTTTTTCCTCCCAGTCACCTACGAACACCATGTCATTCAGAAAGCAAAAAAGTATCAAGAAAAGTGGGATAGAAAAGATAAGTCATGTAGGAGTCAGCTTCCACTCCCTGTGGTAGCTATATGGCCTCAGACTCTCTGGAATCTGTTTCCATTCTGTGAAATCAGGGCTCAAATTAAAAACCTATCTTTATTTTTTTTTTTAAAACCTATCTTTAAAAAGGGCTCTTTGAGGCTAAGACTTTAGTTATCGTAGAAAGTCGGATGCTTCATAGACGAGCTGCAATTTTCTAGATCTAAGGAAAATCTCTTCTTCAAGATGAAAGTAATTTTTCCCTCTTTCTTTGTTTCCTTTCTGTGTTCAATATTTTCTATATTTTTAGTTTCAATGAGGCCAGGTGGACATCTGCTAGGCAAGTGTCAGACAAATGCTACCAAAAGCCATAGTGTTTATTTATATGGGACATATAATGCCCACCTACACTCTGCCTGTGGAGTTCAGTGGGAATATATCTTTTATTTTATTTTATTTTAAGATTTATGCATCCTAGGCATGAAACAGCTTTGGTCACAACCCAAGCATCAAGCGAGGATGAACAAAAGAATCAGGCTGCTTTGCCCCTGATTGATGTAAAAGCATTACCACCAATCAGGTATCTCTCTGCCCATAACCAGGGATTTCAGTTTCTTTTTAAATAAAATAGGATAAAGTGAGCTGACATCAGAAGAATGCTGATCAAAAGGGGAGAAAGAGAGAACAGAATTTCAAATTCTCCTGGACTCTGGAGTTTCTGAAGCCATAGAGGGTACATAAACTATTGAAACCCCTGAAATAATCTTTACATCTTCAATAAAAAATATGCCCTGAAGTTATCTTAAAACTAAAGGGACATGTTCTACTGGAGAAGGAGGGACAATCTCCTCCTGTACCAGTCAGATCCCATTTGACAGTACACACACACACAAATAATTTTTAAAAGATTTAAAAAAAACCCAAACCACAAAAAACACCAAAACACTAAACAACCAAAACCCTCAACAAAACAGCATTATGTTGTTAGGTGCTATAAGGTTGACCCAGTGAGTAATAACTGATCTGAACTTTGCCCTATCTTGCAGCAATCTCATGAATGAGCCCACTGTATAGTTGCTGTGTCTTTCTAGCTCTTTAAAGATCTTCATCTCTTTTTCTGACCCTCCACGTTTCCCAGCATGATGTCTTTTCCCAAGAACTGGCTCATAACACCCTCAATGTATGTGACATGAAATGCCATCCTTCTTTCTTCTAAGGAGCACTCTGTTTGCACTCCCTTCAAGACAGATTTGTCTGTTCTTTTGT